GGGGGGGGGGGGGGGGGGGGGGGGGGACTATCAGCTCATTCATCATCAGATCGGCCTATCAGCTCATCTATTATCAGATCGGCCTATCAGCCCATTCATTATCAGATCGGCCTATCAGCTCATTCATCATCAGGTCGGCCGATCAGCTCTTCTATTATCAGGTCGGCCTATCAGCTCATTCATTATCAGTTCAGCCTATCAGCTTGTCCATTATCAGGTCGGTCTATCAGCTTGTTCATTATCAGGTCGGCATATCAGTTCATCCATTATCAGGTCGGCCTATCAGCTCATCCATTATCAGATCGGCCTATCAGCCCATTCATTATCAGGTCGGCCTATCCCATTCATTATCAGATCGGCATATCAGAATGAAACGTTTGATTTCAGCAACAATCTACTTTGCTTTTCCAAGCCGATCTCACATGGTCGCAAATAAAGCTGATCTCACATGGTCGCAAATAAAGCCGATCTAACATCTGACCGCAATCCAAGCCGACCTCACATGGTCAAAAATAAAGCCGATCTAACATCTGATCGCAATTCAAGCCGACCTTTTGACATTGTTCGACAAGTCACACTACCATCAGCTCGTCATCTACCAACTGTCTACACATCGACGTTCTGGCCAAACGTTCGATACGCCTATACCTAAGTCTAATCCACTTAGCTCGGCACACTTAAAGCCAAGATCTGTATTGCACGCGTACAAACGCCGCAGTTAACCTGCATATAAGCCGATCTATTTTGCAAAGTCCAAGTCATATAATGGTAGTTAGCCGAGCCAGTCTCGCACTTTATATTCGATATGGATACTTCTAAGTGGTACCGATGAAATAACGCCGACCTGAATCGCACATCAAGCATTCACACTTAGAAGATAAGTGGTACAAACAACATAAGCTGGGCCTCCCGCACGTTTGTATTCACATTTGTCTAAAGCCAGAACCTGCTCTGCGCTCCTAAGTCATGCAAAACTATTAAGCCGACCTGATCGCACCTTGCGTTCGACTTTTGGAAAATTTCTAAGTCATGTAAACAATTAAAAGCCGATATCGCATCGCACGTTTGTATTCGACTAACAAAACTCGAGCACACCTCGCAATTATATCATAGATTGAGCCGAGCATAGTCTCGCACCCGAGTATATATCAAGCCGAGTTCCTTAGCTCGGTATACTTCACTTCAGCTCGGCAAACTTCACTCTACGCACCAATCTCGAATACTATACGCCATCAAATGGGCCGACCTGAAAAGCTTAGAGAAATGATGCTTCATTTTTTCTAACTCTTGGAATGGTCCGATCTCAATTCATGCCGAACTGTCTCTTCTAATTCACCAAGCTCAATACTCATTCGCTTGCCGAACTGGGGGGGGGGGGGGGGGAGGGGGGGGGGGGGGGGGGGGGGGGGGGGGGACTAACTATTAGAGATGGATTTCGTAGCCCCTCTAAAATCCCTACATCAATTGAGATAGGCTCATTCCAAAACCCTAAAGAATATTTAGGTCGGCAAGATAAATGTAAATCTTCTATTTATCTGATCAAGTTCCAGAAAAAATGCAAGGTCGGCCTTATTAAGAAGGAAGTTTTCCTATTTCAACAGGAGAATGTATCTCCAGAAGACCGACCTTGTCGGGCTATAAATAAAGAAGTCATTCACTTCTCATAATATCTTCCAATCATCCAAGAATCTCCACACTTGGAGAAGACTTAATTCTGTCTAGGTTTCATATATCTAACTCTCTTATAATGAATTACGATTGGTTTGATCCCTTCAAAAGGGTACGTAGGTAGCCTTTCTCAAGGTTCAGCTGTTTCTTAATAAACATCCAGAAATCCTCTCGAGAGACCTAGGGCAAACTAAGCAATCCTATTGTTCTAAGTTCTCAAGTCTATTTTATTACTATTTTAGGTTGGCCGACTTTTCTCCGACGACTTAAAATCTCTTTGTACCTTCGAGCTCCGGCTATTCTTAATAAAAAGATCTCCATTTAAACCTACAAACTCTTGTTCAGTCTTTAGATCGAATTTGAATTTTCACAGTAATGTTAACGTCATGCCTAAAATGGCTGAGTCAACATAAGTTTGTGATTTTTACATCGGTCAACGAAAAGTTTGTGATTTAAATGGATCATACGAAATATGATGCTTAGAATAGCCGAAAAGTTCAACATTTAAGTGGCTTTTTTTCCCAATAAATTTTCTCTCGTTTGGGTTTTAACGTTAAGAGCTTGTTATTAAAATATATTAAATTATTAAAACTGATTTTTCATAAAAAATCTAAAGTCAGTATTCAAATATTTCATATATATAATTGATATGATCACACGGCTCGGTCTTTGCTTTATAATTATATTAAGTGATTGGTGTACACAGATTATAAAATATTTTATGTTTACTATATGATTAATATAGTATACTGAAGATATTTTATTTATACATGATTAATTATATATAATTAATAACATTATATAAATATTTAATAATAAAAAATAATAATAAATCAAATAAAAAATATTATAGATTTCAATAAAAATTGAAGATAAAAAAAATATTAACCAAAATAGTAAAATATTTTCTTAGATAAAAAATATGTAAATATGATAACTAAATAAATTAAAAAAACTAAACTATATATTAATTTTTATAATTTTTATTTTTCGCTGCACGCATATGCAGTTATAATTTTTTTATAGAAATAATTAGTTGTAATATTTAAGTATTGATTAAGTTTTTAATATATTATGTAAATGTTATGTTTTATACATATAAAGTTTTAGTGTTTAACAATAACCACAAAAACGTTTCATATTGTTTTATGTCTTTTGGAAGTTTTTTATTTTTCTAGTATTACGGTAACATATAATTACAAATATAAAAGTTATATTGAATAATAATTAAAATCTTTATAGTATATTTTGAATATTATCTATACTATGCTTTCTTTTTTCCCTTACACAATATAATCTTGCCAATATATATATTTTCAGTATACATTTTTTTGCCTTATTGCTAATTAAACCAAAAATGGTTTTACTATCTTTATTATCCTAAGAGTGAGTAGATGGTTGGCTCGCACATTCGTGCGTACCAGCCAACCACCTCACCGCTCTTAGGACATATAAAGATTTGTTTTTTAAAATATAAATTGACTAATAGCTAAAATTAAAATTAGATTGTAATCGAGGTTGAAAAAATGTATGCCCCATAAGTTCGCATGCGACTTTGGCTTTTGCATAATTAATATTTATATCTACATGCATATTTGTAAAAAACAAATTGAAGTATGGATTTTATGTGTTAAATTAAAATAACAAAGTATATGTTTTGTAATATATATTTCTATATTTATGGTTGATTTTTTAATAAAAAAATAATACATATATTTATGCATGTAGGATTGAGTTAGAAATAAGTGAATTGTAATATTTAGGTATTGGTTAGTTTTTCTGATATTTTCCACAAATGTTATATTTTTACACGATACATTTTTTGACGTTTAACAACAATCACGAAAACCGTTTCTATCATTTTGTATTTAATCAAAATTTCTTATTTTTTAAAGTTTTAATGTATATAGTTTTTTAATAAACAAATATAAAAAATATTTATTGTAAAATTTGTGAAATAATATTTTATAAAATTCTACTGTGGCTCTCTGCTCATCTCTTCGTCATATTTTTATAGCCCACAGTCGCTCGTTTTCACACTTTATAACTGTAGCGTTTAAACCAGTTGGATCTAAACTAACATGTGTATGATTTAAAGTATAAAATAATATACTTAATTTGACTGTTATATTATAATTTAAGAGTTCTGTTTCAAACTTTGATATATTTGTTAATATAAAATATAATGAATCACAACATATACAAAACTTGACTCATCAAATAATATTTTAATATATTAGAAAAATATATGCATGAAAGAATTAATATGTGTAAGATAATATTTTTAAATATTTAAATAAAAACATAAAATCGATAAAAATTAATCTTTTTATTTTATTTGTCTTCTTTGACTCATTTTTTTTCCTATATGTTTTTCTAAAATATATGTGGATTTCTCTCAAACCTATATCTATTTTACAGGGAAAAAAAAGATTGTTATTTTTTTCTCCAATTATAGAGGAAAGAGTAATATTTTTATTTTTCCTCTAAATTAAAAGATTTAAAATAAAAGTGGCTTGAAGATGCTTTAAACAAAAATGTAGTTTGAGATTTTTACAAAAAATCAAAGTTTTAAAGATTCATGTTTACTTTTACTTTTACTTGTGCTTCTTATTCATATATACAGTATTATAAAAAAAGTTTGCGAATATGATACTCATAATTTATTTTTCTATCTATTTATTTTGTTTGTTTTATTTATAATTTTAAATTCTTGCTATATAATAAGAATACATTTCACATATCATATAAACTTTTTTATTATTTAAAAATGATATTTATTTAATTTTAACTTAACTAATCAAAATATTTCGTTTAATTTTGAAAATTTGTCATGTCACATTTCAAAGTCATTATTAATTTACACTAATTTTTCTTTCCATTGTGCAACATCAGTTTTTTCGTTAAAGTTACTTCTCAAATATATATATTTTTTCTTTTCTTTTCTAACTTTTAACGAAATATATATTTTTTTCTTTTTTAACTTTTAACGAATAAATATTCTTCATATGTTCCTTTCTCCATATGTATTTCTCGACGTCATGCTTTTATTTTGAACCGACAACTTTTGTAGAACAAAGATTGAAATATTTCGGCCTTTCTTTCTATGGAGTCAGTCCCATATAATCATCAGCTAGTAAGTTGATGCTCGACGAAAATATTAATACAGATGATACAACGTAACCGTTTTTAACAACTACTGTAATTGTTTATGTGTCACATATTTACAGAAGATACAATTGTAAACTGTAAGATCTTCCATTAAGCATACAAACATGCATGATTTTTTTGTATTTAATTAAAAGACTAAACATCAACTAATATGATGATTATTAATTATTATAGACGAAATATAAACAAAGAGAGAAAACATTGCTCCTCTATTTAAATAACTCATGATAAACCTATACTTCATCATATAGCTTGAGCCCTCCATACATAATATCCTCACAATGCTTAAGAAAAGGAACAATCTTCCCCGAGTTTTTCCCCCAATCAGCTTCACATCCATGAGACGGAGGAGTAAGGTAACAAGGCTCCATGGACGTGGATCGAACACACGGCGGATCAGGAGTTATGAGATCCGTTGGCTGATAAAGCAACCATGGCTTTAACCCTCCAAGACTATAAGCAACATATCCAAATGTTGACCTAGCGCTTGTGACAATGTTATCGGTTAAGCTCAGAAGATATATCTCAGCAAGCGCCTTTTGGTCGTGAATCTTCTTGTCTGTTTGTTGAAACCTTTCTCCACTTGGCTGATAAACTTCAATAACCTCTCCTGTCGAACTTGGTCGCTCCCAATACATGTTCTTTAAGTTGTCAGAGTACTCTGGATATAGAGACGTGACAAGAACAGCTTTAAGCTTCGGGATATTCGATTCATTGAATCTTGATTCTTCTTGTGTAGCCAGTTCAGGCAAGAGTTTCTCTCTTTGTGTACAGGCTATGACCTGGTCCATGACGTGTTGGAAATATCCAGCGTCTTTTCTAAAAACCCTTATTTGAATCCCGAGTCTCTCGTCTGGTCTTGATAAGTGAGCATGGTAGTACCTAGTGACCATACCCCAAACTTGATTTGTCGGGTGAAGAAGATACCGAGACAGATGGTGAAAGACGGTATCTTTCTGCGGGAATAGCTTGGTTAGTTCCGGTAGGTACGTTGGATTGAACCATAGAGATGGAACAAAGTACACATTGGATTTAATAATCAACCAAGGGACTTTGTTGATCAAATCTTGATCTTGTTGGCAGAAGAACATCTTATCTTCATCCCTTGAATCATGGAGGTTATGAAGATATAGATGCGTCGGAATTGAAGTGGAATTGATGGTATGATCGTTCAACATTGTTCCGTAACAACGAGGGTGTCCCTTGTTGTAGCCATCAATCTGTTTCATCAATGGAAAGTCAGGAGGAAGCAACCATGAAGTACCTGGAAATGGCTCGCATAAGAGATCAGCGATATCCTTGGTTTGGTCAACAAGAATGATTCTCTCTGTCAAGAGAGCGTAGAGGAACACAGAAGCAAGAGTAAGTATTTGGTTTCCAAGCCCGTAACCCGCAATCCACACAATGTATCTGCATTCATCACCAACAGATTTGTTTCCATGAATCTCATCGTGAACAAGATTCTCTGTTGCTTCCTTGTAAGCTTTTGTCCCTGGACCGCAACGCTTGTGAAGCATCTCATAGCTTCTAAGCTTAGAGACTAGATATTCAGAAGGCTTGTATGGGGAAGGCTTGCGATACAAGAAAGATTTATGATATCGACTCAAGCAAGAACCTTCCTCAAAATCCGCGGTTAAAAGCCCTCCTATCAGTTTATCACTCGACGTTTCGGATTCCTTTGAATCTGTTACAAGAAAATTAAATTATATAAAGTCAAAAGGAGGATTTTGTTTCATACAAATTTAACACGTACCATGTATGCAAAAATATGAAATAGAGTCAGTGAAATTTGTAACAACGAAACATTATTTTTTAAACTTAAGTTTTGAATAGTGTCCAATTTGGATTTTGGAGGAAAAGAACACAAGAATGTAATATTTTTCTTTCATCTAGAAAAATTAGATGATATGGAGTTAACAATAAAACGCAAAAGCTAAATGAACTTGTTACCGTTGGTTGTAGCATCAAGAAGTTTGTTGTTGAAATTGGTTGAGAGTGATAGTAACATGATAGACCAAATGAGTAAGCCAGTAAAGATCACTGTTGTTAGAATCTTCATCTTCAAACCCAAAGTCCTGAAAACTTCACCGGAGATCTGAAATTTGTGATACATGTTGACTTTAGTTTGATCGGTTATAATCAGGAGAAGGTTCAAAAAGTGTTATATATCTAACGTGATTACAACTCTTACTGTGATATTTAAAGTTGAAGAAACTTCATATTTTAATAGTAGTAAGACTTTGAATATTCTAATGCGTCATTGTTAAGTTGTGACTTTCAACGAACTCCGAACGTGACTCCACTTTGTTCCATGTAAACAAAGTCTTGAACTCCGATTTTTTATTTATTTTAATATAGTTTCAAAGAAAACTTAACTTTTACATTTAACAAGTAGCAATTGTACAAAAATATGTGAAATAAAGTCAATGAAAGTTAAAACACTTAAGCTTTGAATAGTGACCCCATTTGGATTTTGGAAGAAAAGAAGGGAGGAAAGTGATTTTAAATATGCAACTTTATATAATAAAATAGCAGAATTATCGAATAAGTTTTTATATTTTAGGATAAAAAAATACTTGTGTTTAACTATAGTTGCTAAATTTGATTAATCTAACTATGACTTTTGAGAATTCTTTAACTACTCACGCTTTTAATTCATAAGTTTGTATATCTCATTTGTTTTCATATGCATCAAAACCCCAAACCCGTATTTTCAACATAGTTTTCATTTCATTTCATCTTAAAAAACATTGTGCACTCGAGTTTCCATGTGGTTTCGATACTTAAACTATTACAGTGTTTGTTATGTACTTGCGCCTCTTACATGTTTTTGTTTTTTATTTTAGGATATTTTGTACACCTTATCAATATCAATGGTTATTAGGTGATCAGCCTATACCATATGCGAGTGTTCGGGAGTAAATTTTGGAATGCTACATGGAAGAATCTGATTAGTTTTCGTATGTGCGGGAGAGATTTGAACTCTGGGGAATAGGCTAGCCTGCAATAGAGAAAAAGAAGAAAGAGATCTTCGGTAAACAGGAAAGGGATTGCCCCTCCGATTACACTTCGACGCTCTAGTCGGACACGGGACTGGACGAAGCGTACTTAGAATACCGAAAGGACTGAATACAGGGGCGCTCTATCGATTCGGAAGGATCCCGATAGAGCTTTTAAGAGAGGTGTTTACTGCTGAAAGTAAAGCTAGAAGATAAAGTTATCGTTCTAGATGTCTCCTCCTCTTTCGTTGTCGAGAAGAGTGTGTTTTTATAGGGAATACCTGGTTCCGGGTCGCTTCCGAGTTCGGGCCTCAGAGTTTTCTCGGGTCGAGTACTAACTTCCGTCCTTTTCATGATTATCACCATTTCCGGACTCCTCCATGCGTGTATTCAGAGAGAAAGGATTGTCGACCTGCCCCGCCTTCTCCTAGCCGCCATCATTGCGGCCCTCTTTGGTAGGTGCGGCGCATTTAATGTGTCTCGGATTCCCACCGTGTCCGCTGCCCACGCGTTGGGCCCTCATGGGCCGCACATATATTTTGCAGCCCAACAGTTGCCCCCGACTTATGGAGCTCGTTTGGAAGGTTTGGAAGTTTACCCTGCACGCGAGTTGATATACAGAAGGTCATAATTCCCTTACCTCGTTTATTCCTTTGTTACGGGATGGGCCCTAAAGTACTGATAGCGATTTTTCATGGGGATGGGCTTTGAAAAAGCAATTCCCTAACAATGCTCCCCGGAGGGTGCGCTCTTGGAAGGCGATCTCGAAAAGACTGTTTTTCTCGGAGAAAATTCCTCGGAGAGTGTGCCCCTGGAGGGCGATCTCAGAAAGATCGTTGTTCCCGGAGAGAGTTTCCCTGAGGGCATGCCCCTAGAGGCCGGCCTTGGAAAGACTGTTGTTCCCGTAGGAAGTTCGCCAGAGGGCGTGCCCCTGGAGGCTGGTCTCGGAAAGACTGTTGTTCCCGAAGGAAGTTCCCCGGAGGGCGTGCCTCTGAACGCCGGTCTCGGAATACTGTTTTTCCCGGAGGAAGTACCCTGGAGGGCGTGGCCCTGAAGACCGGTCTCAGAAAGACCGTTGTTCCCGAAAGAAGTTACCCGGAGGAAGTTCCTCGGAGGGGTTCCCCTGGAGGCCGGTCTCATAAAAACCGTTGTTCCCGAAGGAAGTTCTCCGGAGGGCGTGCCCCTGGAGGCCGGCTTGGAAAGACCGTTGTTCCCAGAGGAAGTTCCCCAAAGGGCGTGCCGCTGGAGGCCAGTCTCGGAAAGACCGCTTCTCCCAAGAAGAAGTTCCCCGGAGGGCGTGCTCCTGCCTTCCCTGACCGGGATCCAGAATTTTTGGGGTCCAGGCCCCACCGCGACCGGCGCACTTGAGTGGGTCCTATTATGCGGTCGACGCGTCGTTTCACAAGTGGCTCGTTTCTTAGGAGAGTGGGAAGATTTTTGCGTGTTGGTCCTTGGATTTCTGCGAATATTTTCTGATGGCATGAGATTTTGTTTTTTTCTGTTTTGCGGATCGCCTCGATCCCCACAAAGATCTTCCTTTTGCTAGGGTTACGCGTGCGCTTCTGGTATTTTTATCTTCCATGCCGCCTATTATTTGCTTTCACGAGTCGCTTCTCTTGCTACCTCGATCCCGTGACTTTCTCTCCCTTTCTCTTGGTAAGATTTTTTTTTTCTTCTTCAATCATTTTCCTAGTCTATGTCTCGGACGCCTAAATTGAGAGGGGTGGGTTATTCTGGATATGGCGCCCATCGTTATGACTCTTCCGCCGACCTCCGAGAGGATCCGTTGCTCCTTGAGTATAACGTCAATGATCCCATCCCTTTGTCCTCTGTGCGTCCTCGCAATGGGATTCTTCCGACATTTTGAGGAGCGGTGTAATACCCCGTTCAGACGCTATCCGACCGATCAAAGTTTCAGGCCGAATGACCCTTCGGTACAGTTTTAAAAATTATGGGATTAATCATGGAGGTATACAAGACCCTGAGGAAGACTATTCAAAACGAATTAGTCCAAAAACAATTCTTCTGCTACCACCAAAATTCGCACAGTCCGATAGATGTTCATGTGCCGCGGAATGGGTCAGTTGAAGGAAAAACTAGCTCGGTTCAAAATCCAACAGCTCGGGAGTCTAAGAAACTTTAACTAAGCCTAAGAGGAGTCCATCTAGCATCTAATGTGGCCAAGATCTCGGAGAAAACAAGAGGAAATACATGGGTCCGAATTTATTGCCTATTTGGTCCATTTCCGCCTAATTGAAGACCAAATGAATGATTCTTTGTCAACCAAGAGAGAGGGCCGTCATTATGCAACACTGGAGGGCTAAAGAAGTGTTTTTAATGAGCTAAAGAATTTACTTGACGAGTTAGGCAGTAAAATGCACAGGAGAAGGGAGAAAAGAGCAGTTTTGGACCAATGAGAAGCTCCCATCTTAAGCTTATGGATAAGCTCGGTTTGGCAGGCCTTAAATCTATGAGAAGGAGGCTAGAACATAGGGTGAAAACGTGGCTAGCATTAAAGTAAAGAAAAGCCCAGATTTTACACAACCTAAGTAGTTACCATGGGTAACGTTTCAGCTATAAATACCGCCCCTTCCCTCTCATTTCCATTCCCACTCCTAAAGCCTTTCAAACCTTCGAGAGAGTGTGTGAGGCGTGTAGAATAGAGAAGCTTAGCTTCGGTAGGCTACTTGGTAGTGTAGTCCGGTTCCGTGTCCAGTTCGAGGCTAGTTCCGGTAGTGGTGGACTATCGCAGTTGCTGTTCGTGGTGCAGTGTAGATCTCGGATCTGCATTGTAACACAACACTAGCCTCGGTAGATTAGGTTTTGTGCTTGTGTGTATGTGTACGACTAACGTGTGATTCAGGGAAGCTCGGATCTGTATAGATCCGAATGTATACTAACGTTTTTATGTAGAAACAGCCTCAGATCTGGTAGATCTGTGTGCTGCGAAACCCGTTGGCTGAGGTAACGGTTTGATGGATGTCTGTGGGACATTTTATCATCCTAAACGAGTGATAAGAAGGGTGTAAGGACTGCCGGATCTCAGATCCATTTGCATGTTCCTTCACCGGATGAGCGAGTGTGCGATTTATGGTAAAACACGTTGCATGACTGGAAGGTCATGTGAGTGGAGTTATAATAAACGTGCATGAGCGAGGTTCAAGCGTGAAACTTGTAACCGTAAACGAGAGTTAGGACTAGAGAAGTTCTGGCTTTGCCGTCACTCTAGGGGTTGTGTGGAGGTGATATAGCGGAAGCAACGATAAACAGCTCAACCAAAGGATTCAAGGAACCGATTGGGACCTGCCAGCTCAACCAAGAGATTCAACGGAATCCTCACTTGGGACCTGCTTCTTGAACTCGTTGAGATCTCGATAGATCTGCCGAAAACAAGGAATAGAGAATACTCTCTCAAAAGCCAATGCTCTTTATTAAAAATCAACAACTGAATAATACATTAGGCTTAAACGGTTTTATATAACAAAAACCTAAAACTTATTGAAAACCTTAGAAAATCCTAAAATAATAAAAAGAAATTGTATAAATAATAAAATAGATAATAAATGATGTTTGGAATCTTTCCAAATATCTAGCTACACCTCAATAGGTTTTAGGTTTTTGTTATATAAAGCCGTTTAGGCCTAATGTATTATTCAGTTGTTGATTATTAATAAAGAGCATTGACTTTTGAGAGAGTATTCTCTATTCCTTATTTTTGGCAGATCTATCGAGATCTCAACGAGTTCAAAAAGCAGGTCTCAAGTGAGGATTCCGTTGAATCTCTTGGTTGAGCTGGCAGGTCCCAATCGATTCCTTGAATCCTTTGGTTGAACTATTTATCGTTGCTTCCGCTACATCAGTTGGTATCAGAGCCACAACCTTTGATTTCTAAATCAGGGTTCGATTCTGGATGTCATGTTGATTGACTGGTGCAACACCTATCCTTTTATCGAAAGAGAAGATAATCATGAGATCTATCGAGAGATCTATGACGAACCGATCTATGACGTATATGCAGAAGATGTTATTGAAGATGAAGCTTTTGAGAAACAAATATGTGCACAATCCGGGTGGAATCAAATCGGTGCAAATTTTGGGCATAATTTGATTGGTGCAAATTTCGTGAAGAGTGCAAACTTCGGGTAGAATCGATGGTGTTC